CCAAGCATCTCGTAAACAAATATTATTTTATATAAATAATGGCATAATTGGTATGTATACAAAAAATTTAGGAAAAATATTTTTTTCTATTAAATGTTAACATGTTTATTCTTTGGTTAACATATTAAACAATATTGTTTTATATTTTATATTAACATTGTGTAGATAACACTTTATATAAAGAAACACATATGAAGAATTTAGCCGAACAGCGGCAGCTTACTTTTACATATCGCTTAATTTTGAAATCTATTAAATGTTAACAAATTAAACAATATTGTTTTATATATACACTATGTAGATAAAGAGATTAACTAAAAAAAGTCTGTTCCGGAACGCTTTATATAACAAAACCCATATGAAGTATTTACCCGTCCGGCGGCTGCTACATTATGGCCAAATATTGAAAATTACTCCGCCGGAGTAGAATTATCCATTCGCAACAAATATTCATTCATTCGTAATATAATATTTTCATGAATATGTACTTTTTTATGTTTATTTTTCACAAACAATTAAGTTTTACTTAACTTCAGGCACTCACTTAAATTTTGCAAATTAATCTGCCGGAATAGAATTTTTCGCTTGAAACAAACATTATTCAATTCAGAATATATTTTCTTCACAAATTTTAATATCTTTATCTTTATTTTTAATAAAATATAAACATTTTACAAAAATTTTGCATGAAATGAATTCGCCGTACTTATGGTTTTTGACATCTACGTAAACCAAATGCAAGAACAAAATACATGTAAAATGTTGTTGTTGCGGAACTGCCACCACCTTATCTGAATTCGCCTTGATCAAAGGGGATTAACATAAGATTCAATTTATTTTTAGATTAACTAATCTGATTATTAATTGGCATTTGATTACCATCTCAAAAACCCGCTCTAAGTCTATTTATTATCAACTAGTTTGTCGTGCCAGAATAAGAATATTTAACGTTAAGTTTTCAAACAAGTGTCAAAACTATTGTCCACCATTGTTGTATTTTCATATTGAAAGCTGTACGTTTGTGCTAATGTTTGTAACGCATAAAAATATTCACTTTCTGAGTCGATTAAAACATGTCTGTTCGGCTGGATGTCCATGTAAACCTTATACGCAAGCTACAGGCAACAATTTTCAAGATATTTGGATAAAATTGGGACCATATAAGTTTTTCTGCACATGACGATGCATATTTAACATTGTTGAAATCGGTCCATTATTTCACCTAGCCCCCATACAACCTGACCTTCCGATTTTGGGGTTTTAACTGATAACTATGTGAAATATAGTACTATCTTACTAAAAATTGGCACAACTAAGTTTTATATAAGCATTTTGTCATGTCAATTTTTATAATGATCAGCCGTCGTATGACCCTAGCCTCTATACAAACACCCTTTAAAAAATATCTTAAACGTCCAAAAGTTTACTTATAACCATTAGTATTAGCAATGAAATTCAGCATAACTAATTTTTATATAAAATTACATTCCTCTTCCTAATTTTTTGAGGATCGGCCCATATTTGACCCTAACTTACATATAAAGCCTCTTTTAGAAATTTAGTTTTTCATCAATAAATTGCTTTAATACATCAGAATTAAGGTAAAATTCAACAAATTTTTTATGAAAAATAAATAATTTTTAAAATATACTCATGGCCATGTCCGACTATACTTTCCTACTTGTTGTGTCTAATACAATTTTACCACGCTCTTTTCCCCTCAATACTTCGTCCGTAGTCCAAAATCTAAGATCCGACTACTTCGGTTTATGCTCCCTTTTTTGGGCTATGTGTTAGGCATTTTTCAGCTCCCTATGTCATTAGGGGGCTTTAATATAAGCTTAAATGTTAAAAAATTGAATTTTTACACGCCCCTTTATCCTCCTAATTCTCCGCCCACAGGCCAAAAATCAAAAATGTCTACGTTAGGCGCATGACCCATGTCTTTTACTATATCTATGCCAAGTTTCAGCTTTCTAGCCCATTTTTGAGGGATAGGGGAACAAACATTGAATTTTGACACTACCCTTTTTGCTCCTAATTTACCGCCCACGGGTTAAAAATCAAAAATCCGGTTATGTTAGGATTTGTCCCATGTATCTTACTATATCTATGCCGCCCTTTCTAGCCCATCTTATGGGCTTCAAAAATCTCTGGATAGACAAAAAAGGGGAACAAACAATTAAGGATATTATATATACACAATATATAGAATATAGATATACATAGATATAGATTTTTGCACTTGGAAAATTTATAAAGACAGTATCAGCTATCATTAATCAGTCAAATATTTTAGAAAATATTACAAAATATGTTTTTAAATACATGCTGTACGGACAATTGTTTGAGTCAGTGTATATAGTAACAGGTACCGACTGACATTAGACTTAGGTCCTTTTTGACAGCGTTTCATTTCTTACTTATTCTTTGGTCATTTCTTACTTATTCTTTGGCCAGAAACATCATAAAAACCTTAAATGTATGTACTGTGTGATACAGACTGACTGTATCATACTTGTTGTTTGATGGATGGTGTATAATTTTCCAAAATATCAAGAATCCTCAATTTTCTAAATAAGTGTTTCGTACAAAAAAACCAACACAAAAAATATTTTTTGCTTTGGGTATACTTGTTTTAATAAATAAACTAATAAATACGCAGAAATTTTTGCTTTAAATTCTACTATTATTAAAATCTAAATTGATTTTTTCTGAAAAATGTTTGTTTAATTAGGAAAAAATATATAAAATAAAACACTCGTTTGTTACTTGAAAGCTCAATAAGAATTTTTATTTACAAAATGTTTCATTAAATGTAATTTTTCTATTTAACTATTTTTTTTTTAATATTTGTTTATTTTTTTTTTTTTAATTTATTTAATATTAATAATTCTATTATATATTCATACATATAAATTTGTATACATATTCATAAAAATGTATTTATGTATGTATGGATGTGTGTATTTCATTTTATGCAATTACATATTTTTTAAATTTCATTTATTTATTTTTTTTTTCTATGAGTTTCTGTATATTTCGTTAACAATTTTCTTTTATTTAAAAACAATTTTATAAAATAAACTTTCAAAATATTAACTAATAGGAAAAAATAATAAAATAAAACAGCAACAATAATAGTTTGACTAAAAAACCCACTGACTATCGGCATTCAATGTTAACAAATTTGACTAGTTGTTAAATAATATTTAATAAAATTTTTTAATATATTTCTATATATTAAAACAAAATCATAGTTTATATTTTTTTAAATAATTTAAATGTACATATGTATGTGTTTTAAAGTGAGTTGTGGATAAATATGTATGCATGTAGGTGCCTATTTAATTCATTTTATAATATTTATGATTCTTTGAAAATCTGGTTTAACACGTATTGTACTTTTTTATATAATTATTTTAAATACATAATTGCAAACTTCCAAATCTCCAAACATCTTGTCCATGTTTAAACTTTTCGTTCCTTCTAATATAAAAGTTACATGTCGCTCATTTACTTAAAAACTGGCATAACTCATAAAACATCGTTTCGAGAAAAACGGTTTTCAATGTTTTATGATTGTAGGATTTGAGAAATGAAACCTGATTTACCTAGAGGTTAATACCCAGCAGAAATAAAACGAAGTACTTCTATAAAATTAACATTTTTCTGTGGAAGTGATGTTAAATGATTTCCGAAGAAGCGTTCTTACATTTTTATGAGATATAAAATGTTATTTTTGTGTTTTGTATTTTGTACCCATATTAATGTTAATATTCTTTAAGTCAAATTAGTTCTATTCTATAATACTACAATTTCACTCCTGAATAACTTCCAAAAAAGGGCATAAAAATTACTTCTTGAGAATGAATTGGAATTTGGAATCAAATAAAAAGGACATCCATCCAGCCTGTCTTAAAATCATCACTTCTTCGGGTCTTTTTCAGTTCTTTTTTTTGCTGGGTAGGTACATATCGCTCATTTTCCACAAGACTGGCATAATCCAGAAAACCCTTTCGAGAAAATTGGCTTTGAATGTTTAATGTCATTTTACTATTTAAAAAAAACTTTTAAACAAATCAATGAATTTGAAAAATTGAAATAGATTCAGATAGTAGTGGTTAATATGTTTTTCATCTAAATTAAAATTTAATTATTATTTATCTAATATTCGTGAAAACATAAGATTTAGTTATTACTTTCACAACAAAAAATCATTATCACACCGAAAATATCAAACAGATTTTTAACCCAGTGGCCAAAGAATACTTTTCTAAAGGATTGAGTCGCGCTAAATCCGTATCTGACATCTTTATTTATTTATATGTTTTATGCTAATTTAAAAACAAGTAAGAAATTATAGTCGGGCGTGGCCGACCATATGATACCCTACACCAGTTATGAATATTAAATGTGATTTATTTTTCATAATAAAGCATTTATCTTCAATATTCCCTTGTTCCGATACATTTAAGCAATTTATGGATGAAAAACTAATTTTCTGACAGAGGCTTTATATGGGGGCTAGGGGCAAATATGGACCAAGTCCGATAAAATTTTGTGAATATATTTATATTGACATAATATTTTATTGTGCTGAATTTCATCGCGATATTTGTGTTTATAAGCTAATTTGGGACATTCAAGTAATTTTCTGAAGGGGACTTTGTATGGGAGCTAGGGTCAAATGTGGCCCGATCTTTATGAAATTTGGCAGGGTCATCAAGACTTCTATAAAACTTAGTTGTGCCGTATTTTATCGATATATCTGTATATTTAACATAATTATGAGCTCAGAAGCCCTTTTCGGGGGGTTCTGTTGTATGGGGGCTAGGTGAAATAATGGAACGATTTTAACCATTTTCGTCCTTAGGTCAAATAAAACGTGCGTGCCAAATTTCATCCAATTATCTTGAAAATTGCGACCTGTACCTTGCGCACAAGGTTTACATGGACAGCCAGCCAGCCAGACGGACGGACGGACATAGCTTAATCGACTCAGAAAACGATTCTAAGCCGATTGGTATACTTTAAGGTGGGTCTAGGACGAATATTTTTGTATGTTACAAACATCAGCACAAATCCAATATACCCTCCCCACTAAAGTGGTTGGGTATAAATACCATGAATATACCGAAAAACATGACTTTTCAAGATTTAGGTTCAGGTATCTCGAAGATGGCATACAACATTTTATGTTGTACGCCATCTTTACGGCTTAATCATTTAGAAACGTCTAACCCGGTCTCAGGCTTTCGACTTTATTAGTCGGCCATATTTGAAGTTTGTTAAATCTATATGAAAGACTTTAGCATGACGAATGTTTTTGTATGAAATAATCGTGAAAACATGAGCTTTAGTTTTGAAATTTACCAAAAAAAACGTCGAAAATAGATAAAACTATATGAACGACTTCAGAACAGCACGTAATTTGAAGTAAAATTAAAAAAAAAAAAAATAAATTATGTATGTAAGCCAGTCTTGAACAGAGGTATGAGGACTCAATTTAATACGGTAATTGCATTTTTTTGAAGAAGTCATTAATTTAAATTTAAGAAATGACTAAGGCTTTTCCAAATTTGGAACGACACTCATAAACTTTGCTAGAAAGATTCATTAAGATTCACTTAAAACTTATTTATTTCAAACATTACGGCCATTTTCTAAAGCACCTTTTATGCGAGCATGACCCAAATGTCCGATTTTTACAATAATTTAAAATAAGATTTTAAGAACTTAAATCAAACTCCAATGGAAATGATTTTATCTTTTATATTCTCTCTGTTTAAATGTGTATATTAATAATTAGCTATTGATTTACTAATATTGTTTCAGATAGAAATAGACTAGATTATATATTTAGTCTCAAACTCATATATTTTTGTAAAGAAAGTTTAGTTGAACTTAAGATTCTGTTACTATTAAATTAGAAAGTTAATATCTGTTAAGTATTCTGAAACTCAAAATAAAGGAAAATAAATACTCAATTCGGATAACAACTTTATAAAAGAAGAATCAAACTATCTCAAACGTACAGACATTTACTGAGATTGTAATTCTCCAGAATTATTTCCAAACATTATTTTATCGCGAGTAAATTCCGTTTATGAATACTTGTACAATAAATAATTATATTTTGGAGAAATTTGCAGACATAAGTATGTATATAAATATAATTTCAGTATCTATATACTATGTATATTTAGTTTAAACAGATAACATATTGGTATTTTAATTGTGACAGCTCACTATATCCAATTCTTTCGATTTAAATAAATAAATTTGCAATTTATATATTCAACTAAAAATTATTTAAAAACTTCAAATAACAATAAAATCAGCTTCCACAAATCTGTAACAATTTATACATACATATTTGTTGCGTATTTAAAATTCATTGCTTGTCACCTTTAAATTAATCATATTTTTGTAGTGGTTGTTATAAGGCTTCATGGACTAGTAGCGTTATGGACTTTGCAAAATGAATTAAATTATAAATAAATATTAATTGCAAGTTCAGTTAAGTGTGAAATTCGTAATAGGAACCCAACGCTGTGGGAGCAATAACTAGTCTCAATCGAATATACAGGCAAATACGGCCAAACAATTTAAGCCGAAATTTTCCCAGCAGCTTTCCTCAGAAGATCCTTTTTCGGCTCGTCTCATTTTCTTGGGATAATTTTTCGGATTACTGCGATCACTTAAATGTATTGGCATTTTGGCAAATTCTGGTCTTGGTGTACGGAATTTTTCCATTAATTGACTTTGCTCCGGTGTTAGATTTTTAAGTTTTTTGCCTGGAATAAACAAATTTCAAAAATTAAAAGTGGAATTTTTAAATTGTAATAAATATAAATATTAAATGCGAAGAAAACTTAAGAAAAACCCCAACATAATGCAGAATTTCAATTTCTACTCTGTATTTTAGACAAATTTTGCTTTTAGGATAAAAAAGTTTTTATATCCTTCACCTTCGTGAGAAGGGATGTTTATACCCCTCACCTTCGTGAGAGGGAGAAGTTTATCATTCCGTTTGTAATTTCAACAATATAATTTTCCGACCCTATAAAGTATATTCCGGATCCTTATAGAAAGTGGAGTCGATTAAGCCATGTCCGTCTGTCTGCCTGTTGAAATAAATTTTCGTAAGACCCCGGATACCTTCGGGATCCAAATCTTCAATAGTTCTGTTAGGCATGCTTTCGAGAAGTTTCCTATTTAAAATCCCCAAATTCTTCATATGGTATATGACAATTTTATGTATGCTGTTATAAAATAGCAACAACAACAACTTTGTTTATTAGAAACAAATTAGATAACTTGACAAAATTTTTGTTTCCGTAGTGAGGTTACTAACATTAATGCATATGTGGAACTAATTTTGATTAGGTCCAGAAAAATGTATATTAATAGGCCAGAATGATTTATCTATACCAGAACATACTCATTTCGAATTTTATCCGGATATAATCATTTAATAACGAATTATGTAAGTGGAATTAAGTGATTTTCAAAAGTAAACCTTATATGGGAGCTAAAACAACTTATGGACCGATCCGGAAAAAAATTCCGTATAATGATTTATATATACAAAATACACATTTTTTATCCTGATAACTTTGATTGTCAGTGTGCATTTAAGTAATTTTCGGAAATTGTAATTATATGGGAGTTGCGACCAATTATGGACCGATCAGGAAAAAATTTCGTGTAATGTTAAAGAAGAAAAATAAATCAAGTCGAATTTTACTCCAATAGATTTATTAATTAATGAAATATGTGCTTTTCGGAAGTGGACTTTATATAGTAGCGGAAGTGGACTTTATATAGTAGCTATGACCAATTACGCGCCTGTCCGGAAAAATTTCGTTGAGTGATTCATGGTTAGGTTAGGTGATTTTTTTGAAGTGGACCTTATATGGGAGCTATTACCAAATATGGACCGATCCGGAAAAATTTTGGAGAATGATTTATATGCACACAAAACATATTCAAGTCGAACATTATATGCCATTAAGCAGAGATGGGGGTAGTGCACTAAATTATTAGTTAAATCAATATTTAACTAGCACTAAATATTATTTCAAAAAATATATTTTTCACTAATTTTCTGGAGCTTAGTGGTAGTGAAGCTTATATTTTTAGCACTAATATTTTTAGTGATAATTGTATTTTTTTAACTATAACTCAATTGAGTGATAGTGTTGAAAAAAGCACTACACTCAAATAGTTAAAAATTTGAACAGTCACTAACAAAAGGCTTCAATAATTTTCTTTGCACTATTTTTTTTATGAAAATGAAAGAATTTGTAAGACAATAAATGAAGCATGGATGCGAATAAGGGCGTAAAGACCACCTTTTCAAAATCGCGTTTTTTCGCATAATTATATTAAACTAACCTTTTTACATCTATTCATAAAAAAATAAATTGAAAAATATAAATTTTTCGCTAAAATAGATAGTTTTAAAAGCACGATTTTTAAATACTATTTATTTTTTTGGGTAAAAAATATTAGCAATTTAATGTATTTTTCTGTAAAAAATCGTATAAATTTTAATTCTAATTGCACCAAATTTGCAGAATGGTTGGAAAACATTTCAAATTTATTGATTTTTTAATTATATTGCAAAAAAGATTATTATTGAATGAATTATTTAAGTATGAAAGTGTGGACAAGAAGAAGGGCGTATATCCATAACTATAGATATATTTTAAAAAATTATTATATCTTGTTATTTTCGGATTATTTTAGTTAAAGAGGTCCTATCCAATTTGATAATGAACTAAGATAATAATGTGGTTCGCTGATTTTGACAATAACGCAATAAGGTGCGATTTAAAGATTTTTCTAAGTACAATTTTTACTATGCTATTGTTATTATACTATTTTTATATGCATATTAATTGATTGATTAATATACCAAAAAAATCTGAAAACCGCTTATAGCAAACAGTTTTTTAAATATATAGAAAAATTTAACTGTCCTTACGCCCTTTGAATACTTTTAAGCCAGAATGAATAGGTGGGACTTTTTAGGTAAATATATGAGGAAATACTGTCGTTTTCTTCATTCTATATAGGTACACTTGATTATTTTGTCTTTAAAATCAGTTTTACCTTCAAGTTGTCATATAGTTGGTATAGTAGGCGTTTTTAATATAAATCTAGTAGAGAAATATCTAATTTGGTGTTCCTGTTTAATAAATTAAAAATACATATAAGTATGTATGTATAAAAATACTAAAAAATATATTTTTTTTGGTTTTTGTTTTAATTATTTATAAGGATAATGAAGGATGTCCTTGAAACTTTAGCAAATAATGCTCTAGACTGTTATGTTGAGGCTGTCCAAGTTTTATATAATAAAATAATTAAGAAGTATATAAAAATAACATTTATTTATATATACTTTCAACTAAAATATATGGATATATGCCCTTATTCCATTTTAGCAAAATTTCAAGTATTAATTTTGGCAAGTTGTGACTCGAATTTTTTACTGAGTTTTAGCACAGATGTGAGTTATATTTATGCATATATGTGAAAAAAGTAGGAAAAAATGCCGATTTTAAAGTTTTATGATGTTTTTATCGTCTCCTGTAAAATTTCCCAAATGGTTTATACGCCCTTATTCGGCTCCATGCTTCAAATGATTAAATTTTTTAAAAGGCACATCTATTAAAATGGAAAATACAGATTTTGGCACTATGATAGACCCTACATATGCAGTTACCCCAACAACATCTCATGCTTTAAAAAGAAATGGTTGAAACACCTAAATTTTAAAACTTTTGCCTTCTTCTGCTCAAGTATAACGATTTTTTCTTTAGCGGAATGATGAACTCTCCTCGGAGAATTAAATTAATTGGTTAATCATCTGCGTTGCCAGTTGCCAAAATGATGTGGTTACTGGATGTTTTTTAGGCAATAGCTTGGAACCTTTGTAAATAATGAACGTTTTACTCATTAATAATATTCGTCCAATGAGGTTTTGATTGACTTAAACCATTTCTAGACTGTCCTATTAACTTAAACTTTCAAATGAGTGAAACATTTCTCTGTTGAAAAAAAATAGTGCAGGAATATTTTTTGAACTAATAATTTAGTGTAGAAAAAATTATTTCACTAGGCTGTAAAAACAAATATTTTAACTATTTTTAAAATATTTTTAGTTAAAAATTTTAAATACCACTATCACTATTATTGAATGAGGCTTATATTTTTCAATTCATCACTAAACATAAATAAAAGTAGTGAATAATTTTGAACTACCACTAATAATTAGGGATAGTTAAAAATTAGTGCACTACCCCCATCTCTGCCATTAAGTGATTTTCAGAAATGAACCTTATATGGGAGCTATGACCAATTACAGGCCTGTTCGCTAAAATTTCGTAGAGTGATTCATATGTACACAAAACATATTTGTGTCGAATTTTATCAAGATAGTTTTATTTGATAATGTAATATGTGCGTTTAAGTGATTTTTTTGAAGTGGACCTTATATGGGAGCTATTACCAATTATGGACCGATCCGGAAAATTTTTGAGAATGATTTATATGCACACAAAACTTATCCCGATAGCTTTATTATTCTAGGAAATATATGCATTTAAAGGATTTTCGGAAGTGGACCTTATATTGGAGCTATGACCAATTGCGGACCTATCCGGAAAAAATTTCGTAGAGTGATTTATATATAGACAAAACATATTTTTGCCGAATTTTATCAAGATACCTTGAAATATGCACGTTTAAGTGATTTTCAGAAGTGGGCCTTATGTGGGAGCTATGACCAATAATGTACCGATTGTGGACCAACTAAGATCTACGTTGGTAATATGATTTCTGTTCATATTACATTTGGATGTACACCTTTGTATGGGGGCTATGGGAAATATTGGATCAATTGTTATGAGTTTGAACATACTTGATCCCTGGCAAAAAAAAAATAATGTGCGACAAAATTCATATCTTTGTTAGTTTCTTAGAAAACTACTTAAGAATTTGAAAAAAAAAGTATTTTTTTTCGAGGGAGTCTGAAATTTTTACTCATAACTTTTTACGTCGTGAACCGATTTTGCTGATTTCAATAGCAAACTGCTTAGGATAATAACAAATATTTCTGGTGAATTTGGTTAATCTCCTTTTCTTAGTTTTAATCTGACGGACATAGCTAAATCGACCCAGAATATATATACTTTGTTAAATCTAAGATAAATATTTCTTGGTGTTACACACGGAATGACAAACTTATATATGTATACCCTCTAACACCACAGATGGTGGTGGAGGGTATAAAAAATATATGATTGGATATAGACTTCTTCCTAGTTTCAATATTAATTTTACCTTCAATACAATCACTAACTAGTGATGTTTCTAATGGATTCAATAATTCAACACGATCACAAGCCTTCCGGAATTCGGAGGCACTCATTAAGCAATAACGAGGCGTCAAACATAATGGGCCTAATACCCGTCGTCTATTCTCGGAAGTGGCATCTAGTTTTTTACGTTTACACTCCGCTACACTCCAATCAGCGAGGCAGGTGAATAGTGTCAACTCTGTACTTAATTGTAGAGCATCACGTTTTGCAATCATTTCCAATTCTTCAAAACGTAATTCAGTCATTTCTGGCTTAGTTAGAATCAATTCAGCGTGCATATCGATCAGCTGGAGAGCGTTATTCAATAGGGCAACACCATAGTCTTCTGCAGTGAATGGATTCGGATTAGGGGCGGGAATATTCGATGAATTTAAATTAGTATTGGAATTTGTAGTATTTGCATTGGCATTCGCAGCCGCAGCTGCCTGTTGGGCTTTACGCTTGATTTTCTTGCTAGCTGATGTGTCTTGCGTTGTTATGACGGCGCCCAATTGATGTTGATTGTTTGATGTCATGCCTTGATAGAACCATAGCGAACGAAAAACATCAACAACTGTGGCACTGCTCAGTTGCAGATCCAATTCACGAATGCAGTGTATAATCTGATCAATCGGTTTTGAGTGAAATAAATAATAAAAAAATACAAAGTTCAATTATTTTAATTAAAAATCTAGTCCAGGATTTTATATAGCATTATTAATGGAATAAAACATACCAAATCGGGACAATTGTAACGATCAGCCAATTCTAATATTTTCAAAATATGCAAATGATCGCGATATTTGACAAATTTTGTTTCCAAAAATCGTATGACAAGTTCAAAATCATGTTTATCTACATTTGAGATCTGAAAATGATTATCACCTTTGCGTCCACTATTCGGTCCAGCATGTATCAATTTGGCCAACTCTACACTATTCTCCAACACGGCTTTACGTTCACAACGTATCATCGAACGGTCATCACCATTGACCACAATAAAATCAATGTAGGGACTGGGTATTATTGGTATTCCTGTTGAGACATTCGTATGGGCTCTCATAAAATATGGCGGTGCTGTTGGTGTATAAGCGGCTGTTCGACTTGAGGTAATAGTATCGACACCGCTGCCACTAACACTCCCGCTACTCTCTGGATTATGTTGGCCATCAGAGGATAGTCCAAATGGTAAAACCATTTTTTTGAATGCGCCGAATGCACGTTTAACTTAAACTAAAGAAAAGTCTTTGAAATTATTGCTTCTTTCTCTCTCTCTCTCTCTTTCGGAGTTGGAAGGGTTGAAAAAATCGGAACTGATTTAGGAGTATTTTGGCATTAAAGGCAGTGTTGAAGATGGAATCTATAAAAATAAGAAAAATAATATTTTATAGTTTTTTAGAAAAAATATGATTTTTGGATTAAAATATGTACATACTTATGTACATTAGAGTGTCCCGAAGAACAGCCTTTTTCAGAATTTTATGTAGAAATACCTCTCAATCGATGCGTATTAATGTACTGAACACGAGAAAAATATGAAATATTTTTTTTTTTGAATGGTCCCCAATTTCCTACCAGCGATTGAAAATCCTGACCTCAATATAATTTTAGAAAATTAAAATATCTTTGATTTTTTGGAAATGGACGGATTGCGGGATTGGTCCACAAAATGAATTTTAGTGGGTTGAAGAGGAATATTATGCATCAAACCAAATACCAAACTAAAAATCTATATCAGATTTTTTTGAAATTTATAATATTTATATATAATACACTAAAAATCGTTTTACACACCATAAATGCACTAACAACAATTTTAATTATTTTTACGGAATTTTTTAGATATGTACATGTCGAAAAGATTGCAGAAATTTTGTTTGAACATATTGTACAGAGATCAAGTTTTTCAATCGTTGGTAGGAAACTGAGGACCTTTTCAAAAAAATGTTTTATTATTTTTCTCGTATTTAGTACATTAAAACGGATCGTTTGAGAGGTATTCCTCCACGGGTCCACGGGACATCCTTATGTACTTCCTTACTTCTTTAGTTTTTTTGCTGGGACAATTAAAAAAAATGTATTTTAAAGCATATGTTTACTGCACATCAATGTGTACTTTTGAAAGCAAATTTTTGGTTTCTCTGCTTATCACTATGACGAAGGGTATAAATAAAGTAAATATTATACAATTAAAATACCGGTATTTGGATAATAAATTGCTGCACGATATTTTTAAATTCAATATTCACTTATAATGAATACATGCATGTATGTATATACATATGTACTTATCTATATATGTACATAGTAGGTATAAAATATAGGAAAATCGCTTGTATTTTATAACTTGAATTACATATTAATTGTATCTACATAAAAAGTTATAAACTAAACAAAAGTTTGTACAACATTTATGTATAAGCAAAAGATACAATAGTTATTATCGTTAAGCAAATAAATATTGAAATGAATATGGCCATAAACATGGTAAGTAAAAATATTATAATATAATATTAATAATATTTTCAAAAGTATTAATTCTTATAAAAATGACCTTAACTTTGTAACAATTTTAATTAATTAAAAAAACATTAAACTAATATTTACAAATATTTATATGAACTTGAAATATAAGGATTATTTTATACAGAACGGTATATTAATACAATTTGAAAATTGTTTCTTTTTAATTAAATTTATCAAGGTTAGCAGCCGCTATGAAATGATTAGTTTCTGATGTGCCTGTCGTAAATAAAATTAAGGTAATTCGAAAGCGTCATTTCTTAAAAAATGTTTCCTGGCGTCAATATTTGATGAGCTGTGTCAAATGATAAGACATATATGATACCCTACACAACTCAGTATGTTAAAAATGTGGAATATTTTTAATAATAAAGCATTTATGTTGTTTACCATAATTCCGAAATATTTTAATAATTTGTTGAAAAAAGTGATTTTCTAAAAGAGGGGCAAGGGTAAATATGGGCCTATCCTTATACATCTTGGTACATGGCTTTACATTTACATTAGAGTTATGTATGCTGGATTTCATCGTTATACTAGTGTTTATTAGTGAATTATTGACCTTCAAGTCATTTTCTGAAGGGGACTTTGTATGGGGGCTAGGGTCAAATAAAGTCCTATATTTACGAAAATCGGTAGTATTATTAAGACGTATGTATATTTAACATAATTATGAACTCAAAAGCCCTTTTTGGAGGGTAGGGTTGTATGGGGACTAGGTGAAATAATAGACTAATGAAATAATCAACCATTTTCAACAGGCTTCGTCGTTGGGCCGAAAAAAAACGTATGGTCCAAATTTCATCAAAATATCTTGAAAATTGCGACATGTACCAAGGTTTACATAGACAGCCAGGACAGGACAGGACATGGCTTAATCGACTCAGAAAGTGATTCTGAAAAAATGGAGAATACGACTAAATGAATTAAATAGTAAATATGTTACGTTCGCAATGAGGAGAGGAAATTGCTCACACTCCAGTCGGAGTATGTCACATACCTTGGAATTCATTTAGATCGAAGGCTTACTTGACGTCGACATATTAAAACCAAGAGACTTTGTATGAAGTTATAAGCTTCTAGTATACACTGGTTATTAAACCATCAATCGAAATTAAGTCTTGACAATAAAGTCATCCTATATAAAACTGTATTAAAACCTATTTGGACTTACGGTATCCAATTATGGGATGCAGCCAGCAAGCAGATTCAATAAAATAATTACAACGTTATCAAAATAAGTAAGATGTATCTATATTCGGCTTTGCCGAATCTTATATACCCTTCATCATAATGTATTTAAAAAATTTTAATTTTATAAAATTTCAATTTATTTAATTTTCCGACTCCATCATTACTTTAGCCACAGGGTATACAGGGGCGTTACGAGCAAAAACCTATTTCCCTCTCTTTCGCACGAAACGATTTCAATGATTTTTTAGCCGTATTTTATACACCTCTTCTCTCCAAACAATTTCAAAATCAAACAAAAGCTGATTTTAAACTTTTTCAAATGTCAAAAGGGAGACAGACCTCTATATACTTTGTGACTTTAGCAATAGCAAAACAAAAGGAACAACAACAACGCTAAACGAAATCAATCTTTAACTAAAATGAATCTTTAATTAATATCTACATTTTAGAATAAATCGTGTTCCGAAGCTAACCCCCTCATTTTATAAAACGAAACGACAAACGTTCAAAAAAATTTGTATGGAAAAAATTCAAATTTTCAAAAATTTTCCAGTATTCTTCATACAAAATTTTTACGTTAACGAGAGTTTCGTTTTATAAAATGAGGGGGTAAAAATGAGAAATTCGATTTTAATTTTACGCAATTTATATCAAAATAATTCTATAACAAATAATATTTGTTATAGATTATTTTTAAATGTTTAACCATTAAACATTGTTTTAACAATATTCATCCTTTTTGACTACATCTTCAGTAATTGAGATAAAAATGGGCGGAATGTTAGTGGGTGTGGCAATTTCTTTGAAAAGTGACTATTTCATTGCAAAATTTTGTGTTAATAGATAACTGCATTTAATATTTAATTTAATTCCCTAATATGAAGTTAACTTTTTTTTTCTTCATTTTATAACATTTTGTAATGTTTTTTGTTATCTTCCATTATGGATTTGTTTTGTTATTAATAATTTTATTTGTTTTTGATATATTTTTTTAATAACATTATGAAATTTGCAATAAATCTTTTTAACCTTCCTTCATAATAATAATAATCAATAAATAATAAAAATGAAAGAGCGTCATATTTTGAAATGCTGAATCACCATCAATGAATTTCATATATAGGAATAAGTCCTTTAGAGAGTACTTGGATATTTTATGGACCAAATTCTATCGAATTTTAAAGAGTAATTCCTTTTTAAAAACATATAACATAGTCCACATTCTTCATAAACATTTATAACTATTTATTAATAATAAGTACAATATTTTGGTCAATTGGGACCGATCCTCAAAACATTTACTAGAGAGATGTGCTATAATAGAAATCTTAAGCCAGTTATGGGGTTTAAAGCCATTTTCTGAAGGGGGCCTTATTAGGGGGGTAATGTTCATTTTTATAAATATGTATATTGAATAGCCCTGGAAAATAAGGGTTTTGATGTGGAGTTTTAGATAGCTAAATGAAAATTGGCAGAAAAGAAGAAGCAACAAAGTCCACTTTAGACGATAAGCGTTATGTATGGAAAATAAAATGAATTTCCATCCGTATTTACATGAGTTTAAATTTTAATTTTATTTTCCATTTCACTTTACGTCCGTAAAATCTTATCTCCTAAAGTAGGCTTTAAAAGAATAGGGTACCAATTAGTCAAACGGTCAGTCAAATTTATAACGCAAGACAAATTCACATGTAAGTAAAAACAATCGCCTTGAACTTGCTCATAAAAGTTCACATTGAATTCGAATTCAATCATTCATACCTTAAAAATTATATTTATTTGTTTTTACGTTGTCTTTTTTTATTATTTTTCACTGAAAATTTATTAAATTTTATCAAAAAATAAACATATTAATAAATAATTATTATTTATTTATCAATTATCTATTTCGTTTGTGTCAATCACTGGTAAATTTTGAAGCTTTAATACCGTTAATCAATCTTTTTTTAACGAAAAATTGTCGAGCAAATGACAACAGCGTAAAACCCGAGTAATAAAGAGAAGTTTTTTTATAAAATTTATATTTTTCTTTATTTTAATGTTGTTAATTTATTTGTTCTACAAGTTTTTATTTATTGTACATAGAAAATTTAAACTTTTCCGCACGACTTTAGAACTTCGACTGTGAAGAATTTTTAGCAAAACTCGTAATTCTTGTACCAACAAATAAATACACTCCCGCTATAATAATCGCGTCGAATATATATTTTTTTTGGTATTTTACCGGTGCTTATGCGTACGAAATTGTAAAATTAAATTAGTCTAGTATTCGTTTGCCAATTCGCACACATTTGTAGTTCCATTTTACACTTTAAGACTTGGAGTACGGTGGTCGTCTGATCATAAATATTTACTTAACAAATATTTTCATGTACACACATATGTACATATGTATGTTTGTAGGTATGTGGAAATGATGGTTTCTTTGTTACAAAGATACTCTAGTAAATTCTGATAATTGGGGGAATAGTTTAATATTTGTTGTTATTATATTAATATACAAATGTTTGCTACCGATTTCAACTGATGTAATATTTTGTTATTATTCTACTTTATATAAATATTTTACAAATACACTTGTAAATATTATTTATAAAATTGTGTTTGAATATCGAAAATATTGTTTAAATGCGAGGACTTTTA